TAATTATGAATGTTACGGATACTTTGAACGTATAGCTTATCGACTTCAATTAACAAAGTAAAATCTGACTCAACAGAGAATAACGTCATTCAAGAAATCATTTGGATGCAAAATAGAAGAATGAATCTTTAGACATAGTCAAGTGTTCTTTTATATTCAAGATAGGCTAGAATATCCATCCAAATGGTTATAAATGCATTCTCACTGACAAAAATCATTTTTGAGATGCAAGTGAAAAAAAAAATTGCAATATTGACTGAAGTGAAGTACAATGAAATACTCTTTAAGAATAACATAATCTGTACATCACGAACCATCTGAATATAAAATATTCCACGAAAAAGTACTCTAATCTGGAGATTTTCCATAAAAAGACAGAGGATGATAAGGTATTGTCGTTCGAGTACATAAGATGCAAATAAATGGTTATCAGCAGCACCATGATGCTATTAACATTATATTTAGTGTAAATGAATGATTCACTCACTGCTTGCATGAATGATTCCACGAACACCTAGTCGGCTCCATTTCAACAGATCCGACTTTACTGTAGAATGTAGACTAAAAAATAATAGTTTAGAAAATAAACAAATCTACTTTAAGATTAAAAACAGTGAGATATAATAAAATTATGGAATTACAGATCAGCAAGAAAATGCCCCCTTTTAACTATTTTGGCATAGACCAAATTACATATTGCCCAACCTGATGATCGTAAGAAGTAGTTTTATAATCTTCATCGGAATCACTTGAAGCATCATTTAAAATAGTTGATCCAGCAGAAATCAAGTCAGAATGCCCAGAATTTTTCTCCGTAAACTTCGCAAAACACTTAAGCTAAGCAACAATTAGACAAAATTTCATAAACAATAAAAAACAGAAAGACTTTCAGTACATCTTAAAAAGCTTACGGCATCGCAAACACGAACAGGCCTTTTGCTTACAGGAATACGATAACTGTGAGAAGAGCATGCGCCGCACACAACATTGCCACAAGCACGACAATGATGCTGGAAATTAAATTAAATATTTTAATTTGCATCGCCGTAACTATTTTCCATCCTGATTTTTCCTATGTTTACCTAGTTTAACACCATTTCAAATTCATTAACAGAAACATGATTAACTGGAACTGCTTTCAAAAAATAGTGAGATCATCGTGAAAATACCGTGAACATATTAGCATTGCGCATTTCCTCACTAAAGATTTCACATATCATATACAAATTAAAAGATGTGAAAAACAAAAAACTGCGATTTGCTATCTTTTTGCAAACAAATGACTTTATGCTAAAAATTAAATATTATAGCAGTTAAAATTAAAGATAGTACCACACTAAGATTTGTAAAAGCATACTCTACGATGAATTAGAGTAAATTGTGTCTTTTGACAAGTCATACATTTAGTTGCTTCTCCGTCAGGCACCCATACTGCGGCATGTTCAGTTGAAGGCTTTTTCCCACCTGCAACAATTGATAACACTAGGAAAGTATTGTCGAGATTCGGAATAGAATTAAGCTACCAAAAACACCAATCTCAAAACAGTCTAAATAAAAAATCTAAAAGTATTCCCATAAATATGCAACCTTTCGTGAGAATATCGTGAACACAACGTTCTATATGTAAAATCCACTCCTTCTTCTCCGTGCTGGTGGCAGCAAAAACCGCAAACGACTTCGACCTTGTCTTAATAAGCCACCCATTTCTCATCTCTTAACATATAAGACTGTTGTTGATCATCCAATAGACGAGAATTTGACTGTTTTTAGATTTTGGAAATAAGATCTAAATAGAGGAAGAAACATCAACAAGAAAAATGTGCAGATTTTCACACTTTTCCTGTAGATTAGAAAATTTCTAGATGCTTGGTGAGATTATACTGGTAAAGCAACGGTCAGGAACATATGAAAACGCAACTAACCACCTTCATCTTCAAGATCCTGAAGCTGTACTTCCTCCAGTGGAATAACATGTTGCTTGTTGTATCGCTTTTTTGAGATTAAGATATTTCCATAAACCAAAATATCGTTGAAGAGAAAAAACTGACGCGGTTTAGGTTTTTTCCTTAGAAAGTGTATAAATATAACATTCAGTTCAAGTTGAAATTTAGTGAATTTTTGCAATGAAGCACATACCTACACATCTTCACCAGCACACCTTCACCCACTAAAACTCGCCCATATGCAGCTAATGGCTGACCAGCACTACCAAAGCATGCTTCAACATTCAAAATACGACGAGTGTTTACTTCACTGTTCACTACAATAAAAAGTATCACCTTACTATATGTTGAAATAAATTATTAGCAATTTGAATGTATTCAAAAGAATGAAAATCATAGCAATGTCTGTTAAAATTTAGTTCTTACTGCTTCTTCATATACATACATTAGTAATATTTTCGTACTACTACTAAATGATACAGAATCAAGACTTATTTAGAAAGAAAAGAGTTAGCATTTCATCACATCTACCTTATTTTAAGCATTACTAAAGACTTGCAATAAAAGTTATGAAAACAAAACCTAATCGGTCGACCATTGCCTGTCAATACCAGGAAAACCCAAAGTTTAAGGAAATAAGCCTGAAAAATGAACATACGAAAAAAGCATAAGAAAACCGTAGAAAACTTATCAAACAAACAACATATTGTGACACGAACTATACATGAGGAGCGAAAAAAATATTAAAACTAATCCGTAATGCTAATGAATACTTAGCAATATTATGTGCTACGCTTTCTAAGCGAACTTATCAAAAGTTGTCTATCAATGATTAAACGTTAAATGCGGAGTTGCTATATCATAAACTCAACTCATTTGTGATCAATTAACACACTAACAAAACTCCCCAATCAACTCAAATTCAACGAATAATAAAAACCCGTTTGTATGCCATTTACGAAAGAAAAATGACTAACTAGTCATGCGTGACTGGCAACTAATCTCGAACTTCTTCCATTTTTCGCTTGTAAAAGTTAGGTAACGTGAACGAGTAATGCTAAACATAATCCACCGAAATTTCTCGGGAGCTATTGAACATGTCTGCAACTAAGGAATCATTTCTTTCTTCCTATCAAGATCTTACAATTAAGACTTCACAAAAACTTGCATTACGTTTTGCCTATTTCACAATTTGCATGCTAACCTTAGCAATTTGCATCCCAACCTTTAATTCCTGTTTCTTTGCCTTTGTAAGAAAACTTTGTCTTCTTTCTTTCCATGATACCCCTTCACATTTTTCTTCTTTGTTTGAAAGTTGGTATGAGCAATAATGTGTTCATGATGTTCCTTTTATTCTTTTCCCTCTTAACTCTTCTAAATTTCATTGACTCTTTCTATTAATTCAATGTTTATTTCCCCATTTTAATATATCTCTTTTTCTCTTTCAGAAACAAATCAAACGAATTTTCGTTGAGACAAACGGTTGCATTCATTTGGTTACGTGGATAAGTTTTTCTTGACGTGTTGGTCAGTTATACTTGTATCTTGTTTAATATTGATGGCATTGTTGAGGAGTATAGTTTTAAATGAAATTTTTGCTGTTTTCTTTGTAGAGGACCAGAATACTTGTGTTTGTTCCTATCCATTTACTATTTTTCAAATTGCTTATTGTTTCCGTTCATGCCATTCTTTTTTCTATTTCAGTAAAGTTATGTGTACATGAAAAAAATTGTTGATATATAATGAATATTCATAATGATATATAATGAATTTTCATATTTATCACTTAGCATTACTTGTGTTTTTACACATTACACGCGATTTTTTCAGTGTATTACAAGCTCTGTATTACATTTTGCAGGCTATAAAAACATGCCTCTACGATTAGATGTAAAGAAAAGGTTGTTAGCGCGATCAGACCGTGTGAAGTCAATTGATTTACATCCCACCGAAGCATGGATGCTTGTTGCTCTCTACAATGGCAATGTTCATATATGGAATTATGAAAATCAGCAACTTGTGAAGTCTTTCGAAGTATGTTTTTTTCAGTTTATAATTCCTATCACATTTATAAAGCGTTATGTAATTGGTATATTTCGCAGTTTAAATGTCAGCACGTGTCGTTATGGTTAAGATAGAAAATGAACTGGAAGTTCCTCTTTCGTTCTAGAAGAGTTGAAATATTGCTTGACTTCATTCTCTTTCCGCTATAATTTTTTGAATGCTATGCTTAAACACTACAAAAAAACAACCTTTTTACTTATTCCAAGTTTAGGTTTGTGAATTGCCTGTGCGTTGTGCTAAATTTATTCCACGCAAAAACTGGTTAGTTACGGGATCGGATGACATGCATATTCGTGTTTTTAATTATAACACTTTGGAACGAGTGCATCAGTTTGAAGCACATTCAGATTACTTGCGTTCTATTGCTGTTCACCCTACGCAATCTTATATTTTAACTTCTAGTGACGATATGCTTATCAAACTTTGGGATTGGGATAATAAGTGGAGTATGAAGCAGGTTTTTGAAGGTTATTTTTAATTCGTGTCAGAAAGAATTGTTTTCCAACTTTCCTGAATGAAAAAATGTCTGTTCAAAACTATAGATGGTTCTAGGCTCTGTGGTCAGCTTAGAGTGTGCTGACTCTAATTTTATTTTAGGCCACACACACTATGTTATGCAGTTGGTTATTAATCCAAAAGATAATAATACCTTTGCGACGGCATCACTTGATAAAACAGTGAAAGTTTGGCAGTTTGGTAGCTGTACTGCAAATTTCACTTTGGAAGGTCATGAAAAAGGAGTAAATTGCGTGGATTATTATCATGGTGGAGATCGACCCTATCTGATTTCGGGTGCAGATGATCGTCTTGTTAAAATATGGGATTATCAGAACAAGACTTGTGTTGCTACTTTGGATGGCCATGCCCAAAATGTATCAGCAGTTTGCTTCCATCCGGAACTACCCGTCATCATCACTGGTTCAGAAGATTCTACAGTCAAAATGTGGCATTCTAGCACGTATAGGTGCATTCAATTTTTCTTATTTATTACGTTTTGTATTGTAAATTATTTCGAAAACTATGTTTATCATTTAGTACTTTTACAGATTAGAAACAACTCTCAATTATGGTCTTGAACGTATATGGTGCATACACACTTTGAAAGGTTCGAATACGATCGCCATTGGCTGTGACGAAGGTTCAATAACACTCAAATTGGGTAGAGAGGAACCAGCTGTTAGTATGGATTCTAGTGGCAAGATTTTGTGGGCAAAACATTCCGAAATGCAGCAAGCTAATCTAAAGACGCTCGATGCAACCACTTTAGAACAGCTCCAGGGTTTGCACTTAATCATTTTTTTGATTCTTATCATCTTTTTAATCCTCAGTATCATGTAGTGCTTCTTTATTGTTTAACTTTATTTTGTTTGTTTTTGCAATTTTTTAAAATTCTTTCTACTTATTGTAAATTAGTTTATCTCAGTTGGTATTGCATTATAATATTTAACTCAAATTTTGAGCTCATAATATCATTTGTGTCATACTTTGCCTATGTTTTTTTTTATCATTCCAGATGGTGAACGTATTTCTTTATCTGTCAAAGATGCCGGTTCATGTGAAATTTATCCTCAAACACTGACTCACAACTCTAATGGACGTTACGTCGTTGCTTGTGGTGACGGCGAATACATTGTTTATACTTCCACAGCATTACGAAATAAGGTGTTTGTTAAAAAGTGTTGGATTTTTTTTTTCTTATCAAAAATACTCTAATATCTTACATGTTCAAACACAATGCGATTACTATATTTCGTAGATGGTAAAGTGTAGAAATGGAACCTCCTCAGAGAGTTCAATTGGAAAAAATTGAATCATATTATTAAGTTGGTCTACGAAGAATTATGAGTTTGACTGTCACCGTAAGATAATGATTCAGGCGTTCGGTTCGGGTCTTGAATTCGTATGGAGTGCAGACCCATCAGAATATGCAGTTCGCGAGTCAACGTCTTGCATCAAAGTTTTCAAAAATTTCAAGGTACTCTTTCTGGGATATCATGCAAACTCATTATATCATTTGTGTCATACTTTGCCTATGTTTTTTTAATATTCCAGATGATTAACATATTTCTCTCTGACGTATGTTCAACATCTAGGATGTTAAAAATGACCCAAATCATGGACTTGAACATTTTCATTCTTGTTTTAGAATTAATTAAACAGTATCTGAATAATAGGAAGTGCGTGCGCTGCATCCAGATATTGTTATGGAAGGTATAGAAGGCGGGCCACTCGTTGCTGCTCGAGCTAATAATGCCTTGTGTTTTTTTGATTGGGAAACAGGAGCTTTGATTCGTCGAATAGAAATTTTTGCGAAACATGTGTACTGGTCGAACAACGCTGAAATGGTAAATTTTGAAATGTTTTATCTGATATTTTTCTTCATTTATTCGTAGATGAAACAGCTTGTTTTAGGTTGCAATTGCTGGAGAAGATACATTTTATATATTGAGATATAATAAAGAAGCTGTGGAAAATACAACAGCGGAAGATGTAGATGGTATAGAAGACTCTTTTGAAGTCATCGGTGGGTAAATAATGTCGATGTTACATTATATATATGTATATACGAAATTTTTGTGCTTTCTGATTTTATTCACAAATCACGGGAAAGCTTATTCTCATTGTGCTAAAGTATACCTACATTCAAAAAAGTTTTTTTTCATGTTAAATATATTTACTTACAATGGTTCCAAGTTAAAATTTTCAGGTGAAGTTCAAGATAGTATCAAAACGGCTTTGTGGATCGGTGATTGCTTTATATTTACAAATGACTTAAATCGATTGAATTATTATGTGGGTGGGGAAATTGTTACTATTGCTCATCTTGATCGTCCTCTGTATTTGGTAAGTTCTAATTGTGTTGTACTGTTCATTGTGAATACAATTTACAATGGTAAAGAAAAATCAATTTTACCAATTAATTATAATTTTTTTGTTTGTCAAATAAGTACTCTAATTTTTTTTTGAATTTGTAATGCTTTTTCTTTGTTTAAAAATGATAATTATGTTTCCTTTCAATTTTAGTTGGGTTATATGCCAAAAGAAAGTAGGCTATATTTATGTGACAAGGACCATAACTTCGTTTCATATCGCTTGTTGTTATCTGTTCTGGAATATCAAACTGCAGTTATGCGTCGGGATTTCGACACAGCTAATAAGGCAGAGGATTTTAGACTTTTACGGCTTAGATTGCTGACTTTGTAATATGATTCGGATTTATCTCAGCAGTAGCATTCAAACAAAAAAAATCCTAAAATGTATTAGGTTGAGATTTGTCCAAAATCTTTGGTCTTTCGTTGAGTTAGAGCTGTGATTTTCTGTATTGAATGGCTTTTTTATTTTTAAAGGTCTTACCATTGATACCTCGGGATCACCGAACTCGTGTTGCTCACTTTCTTGAAAAACAAGGATTCAAAAAACAAGCTTTGGTAGTTAGTCAGGATGCAGATCATCGATTTGAGCTTGCTTTGTCACTAGGGGATTTGGAACTGGCCTACGACCTTGCAGTAATAGCTGATTCAGAAGAAAAATGGCGACAACTTTCTCAAGCAGCTACGTTGAAAAGTGAACTTATCTTAGCTGGAAAATGCCTTGGTCGTGCCCATGATTATGGTGGTTTGTTATTATTGGCTACTTCTGCTGGATCTGCTTCTTTAGTACGTGTTTCTGAACATATTTTTTCCGTTAATGGAGTACGCTTAATTCTGAATTATTTTTTGAAAAAAAGGATTTAATGAGAGAAGCCTATTTATTCTAGCGCTCGTACAAATCTTTAACTTCTCATTTTTCCTAAGCATCATAAATTATTCTTGTTACTTTATAAAATGAGCAAGTAAAGCCATGACTAGGTCAAATGTGCCCACGAAAAAACACATTTGTAGTGGACTTAAAGGAATGTAAATCCAATTACTCGTGTTTAAAAACTTTTTCCTAGTCATTATCATACATAAAACGTTCAATTATTGTTCTAGCTGTCCAAACTAGCTTCTGATGCACAACTTTCGGCACAGTACAACTCTTCGTTTATATCATATCTCTTACTCGGTGATTTAGACAAATGTCTGGAGATTTTGATTTCAACCGATCGTCTTCCGGAAGCTGCATTTTTCGCTCATACATATTGTCCTTCTATGGTGCGCGTGGATTCTTGTATATACTTTTCATATATACTTTTTTTTAATACAAGCTCTCGAAATAATGAAGTTTGTCTATTAACAATTGTAGGTCAATGTTTCAGGTTGATCATGTTGTATCTTTGTGGAAAGCGAAGATTTCTCGTAAAATACTCAATGGACAAAAGGTTTTTGTCAATTTTACTTGCAATTTTTTTCTGTTGAATGCGATGTATAACTCTTCTCTAGAATGATTTACTTTTAATTGCAGAATTTCGGCGAAAGTATTGCAGAACCCTCGAAGTATCCAAATCTTTTCTCTGACTTTAATGAGTCTCTAAAAGCTGAGCAGTTCCTAAAACATTTAGCAAAATTACCTGTAAAAGCATCAACTCGAGTTCCATCGAATACTCAACGTCATATTCTTAAAGAAGTAATGGAGGCAGAAAAGTCAGGTCTATGATGTTATAGTCGTTCGTTTTACATCTTGAAATAAGTTTTATTTAAAAACTTTTTGGGATGACCGTATGTGTAAATTTTTACAGGGACACTAGTTTTTCGTGAAGATGGATCTATGGAAGCAATGCAAAGCATCAAAGCAGAAGAGAGCGTGACAGGATCAACTTATCTGTCTGCTGATTCATCATTAAATTCTCTTGCAACAATCATGCCCTCTGTCACTTCGTTATCGAAAGTTGTATCGGAAATCTCTTCCGAGCCTTCTGAAACGCCATTCACAAATCTTGATAGCTCAACAAATGTAAATAGTGATTCTTCATACTTACCAGCACAAAGCGCTTTCTTAAAATTAGAACCAAATGCCGTGCCTATTTCATCAGTTCAAGTTCCATCTTCAAATAGTCTACATTCGAATGCGACTCAAGATAGCGATGAAGTGTGTTTGGAGTATTTTTTCTTTGTGTCGCTGTATTATATCTGAAATAAGGCGACTGCTGTAAAAAAGAATTCATTTATAAAAATTTTTCAGCAATTACATTTGGTATCACGTTTTCTTGTGGAAAGTAGATTCCATTTTTCTATCAGTTTCAGGGAGATCTTATAAATTCAGCTATAGTAGATCCAGATGTTGTACGAGATCGTGCCAGACCAGATATTGTTCCTTCACGAGGAGAGCCAGACATTGTTGGAATCGCAAATCATTCGCAACCTGAAGTATGTTATTGAATGCGCCATATTATCACCCTGTCATTTAACTTGAGAAATTATGCAAAGCGGATCTCACAATTTCCGGTTGTATAGAAAGTACCATTAAATTGTTTTCCTTTTTTTTTAAAGTTTCAGATAATGTATGATATGGTTTGAAATGAATTACTTTTTTTCTTACATGGTAGCCATTTTTAAAAACTCCTTCCATGGAATTATATATTGCATATAGGTTGTACAAGACGCGAAAATAAGAAACCACGAAAGTTTGTTAACATGGAGTGATAATGATGAAGATCAATTTGATGATGATATTGAAGTGAATATTGATGATCTAAATTTGGATAATGATGAGTAACAAAAGTATGTACTTTTAGTGTGCACTTCTCAACTAAAATTTTCCAATATTACCCTTTCAGGTGACGGTTTCACGATTTCTGTTTAATTAAATTTACATTAATAAAATTTACTATCTCTCATACTCATAAATGGAAGTAGTACATTTTCGCTTATAGCATGAGCTTCCTTTCGTCGTAAATTACTTATTCCTTTTCTGAAATCGATTTTGTTGGTTTCGGGTGGAGTTTTTTTGACATTAAAATTTGGAATTTAGAAAATTATATATCAAAATCTTTATTTCGTTGGTATATTCAAAAGATGTAAACGCAGTTTTTGAACTAGAAATTTACCTGTTAGCGAAGCAAACACTTTGTTGTGTGATTAAATCAAATAGAATGACTTACTGAACATACTGCTCGTTTTGTTTTGTCATAGGATTTTCACTTGTTTTATTGCGTATGCCAAAAAGCTCTAATCTTTTAATCCAAAATAAAATGATACTGTCACAAATGTTTGGTATATTTCTCACTATCATGTAAGTGCATGAACTTAAATAATCTGAATTAAGAATATAACGAAAATATTTGAAGGTTTTGCATATAAGTTTATGTATTATTTCTTACCATCATAATGTCATGAATAACTTCTCGACATAATCACTTTTGTCAAATTTTTTCATTACTTCTGATACACAAGCTGGTTTTATACTTTGTAAAAAAGCTGATATTTTTCTGAAAGGGTCAACATATGTGACATAATGATAGAGATTGGAGATTCCGTTAACTCCAAAAAAATTAACCCGGAGTTTTGGTCAACATTCTCTGCGACTGTTTGCTAATAGCCGTTTCTTCTTTTTATACAACGTAGTGGTGAATTTTAATATTTGTCTTGTTCATTGTACTTGGGTTCCGAAATTATGAAGGATGGGGATACCCTATTTGTCACTGTGTTTTTGAAAATATTCCGGTATTCATACAAACTCATGAATTAATTTTGATCTAGGTAGGTTTTTGTTATTATTCTTTATTAGATGGGATGAGTAGGAATCATTTTCCCATTTCAGTTCCTAAATTTTTTTGCAAGCAAAAATGACATCTCAAAATACACATGACTTTTTAAATTAAGGATATCTGTGTCGAAGCGTCGAAGTTAAGATGCATTTAACTCGCTGAGAACTGTTTAGGCAAATTCCCTTTTTCTGTGGCTTTTAAGAAATTATATTCTATTAAATTTAAATTTTATGGAAGGCTCAGTTGGAGTTAAATGGTATTACTCAACAGATAAAACGGTGAGCACGCAATGCTCAGTTGGTTCAATTATCTTTCAAAACAAACTTCAAGCAGTAATTATGCTTGAAGAAGATCGGTATGCGTTGTGTATTTTTTCTTTAGATGGGCTTACATCCTAAACAGTCCAGTATTCGTCAAATTTTCGTACTAAATTCTCAGCGATGGTTTGGTATCGGAATGAAATGAAAGTGTTTTAATACAACATTTAGTCGCTAAAGTTCATAGAGAATTGCTGAATATCATATTGAAATATCTGAGTGGGTGCATGTTGGGATGAGAAGTTCTTACATTACTTATTAATTGGGGACTGAAATGTTATAGACTGATTTTTCTGTTGCTTTAATCATTTATACTTCAGGCTTCTATGACAGTTTTTTTGGAACCAGTAGTACCTTTCCGAAATTTTGATTTCGAACAATAAAATTATCAGGAATGGGAGGTCGAAAAGCTGTTTTCAATACAAAAGTAACCAAAATTTGAAAATTAAAGCGTTTTATGCGATCACTGCAGTTAATGATCAATTGATCACAGGCCTAAATAATATGCTGGAATGAGCTTGATATGTTCTGTAATGTTAATTAGCCGTAACAATTCATTCGATCCAGTGCGATTATACTGTAATTTTATTGATATGTTTATATTGTACACATTTTTTTGTTATCTATTAGAGAAACAAAATATTTTGTTAGCATTCAAATATACATATGCAGTTTGCGCTAAAAAATTTAAATTGCCATGATAATTAATTAAGGGTAAGACAAAAGTCAAAAATCAATGTTACAATGAGGAAAAATGTTACTTCACGAAAAATTGTCAGAATTTTATTCTGCATAAATCTGCAATTATTTCAACTTATCCACGAGAGATATATTTGCTTTCTGCAACTTTTTTGAATAATTTGCTTCATTATAATACATGAAATGTAACAAATTTTTTTAAAAATTAACCAAACATATATATATATATATATATATAAATCGCTAAATTGGGGGTTGGGTAACTAAAGTAACCAAACAGATTTCGATTACAAGTAGTTAGTTGTTAGTTGTCTGTAGCAAAATGAAATCCATTTGATTTAATCGTAGAAAAGAATGGTATTTGTCTTTCTTAATTTCTGCACGGTTTTTGTTTTGATTTGCAAAATGCGCTTCTGTTCATCTATTTACAGAAACTTCTGAATGTACTTCTTTAACTAAGCGTTGAAGTGATTTTTATAACTATGAGATAGATATTAAAAGTGCTTTTGCAAATATCCCGAAAAGCATTATAATGCATGTGAAAGCAAGCAATGAGTGATTGATCTACTTGTGTGATGACATTCTTTTGCATGATGTGCGAGATCGATATTCAGTTATTTATCATGCTGAGATTTTTTTATTTGCATTTGGATGACAGGATGATCAATTTTCAAAAGCTTTGTCACAAATTAATGCCTTAACGATAGAAAAAATAAATCATTTAATTTCCATTTTTGGCACTTTTCCAAGTATAACTTATTAAAATGCTTTAAAAATTATTGAAAGAATTTTATCATGCATAAATTTGCATTTATTTTGGTTGTCTAATAATAAAGTAGTAGTCAAGTATGTATGTATGTATAGTTGTTTAATTACTTAACACTATTTGTTCAGAGCACGCATGAATTTTGAAAAACTTGCAGAACAGTGAGACGGTTGAAAGTGAATGAAATGCAAGCAGTTGATGAGATAATTTTATAACTTCATATTTCTCTCACTTTGCTAAAAAAATAATTTTACGGAACTATTTAAAATTTAAAGAACGCATATGTAATGAAATGACGGGATGTCAGAACAAATGTTCAAAAAATCCCTGCTTTTGTAAAAAAGCATTCGCCAAATAATAATTATAATAATAAATATTGATAGCAATAGTGATAATTGCGTGGATTGCAATCATCATTAATTAATATATGAGACAAAATTATTTCAGAAACGAATGAATTTTAATTTTTTGCCAAAGATTTGTGTATAAAATTATTTAATGAAAAAAGCTTGCATATAGAGTAGTTGCCATTTCATACTGCCAGTTAGTCTGTCGCACAATTTTTTTCTCATTGTATTTCAAGTATGAAATTAAAATTGTTTCATACAGTATATCTGATTCTTTCAAACGTGTGAAATTTAGATGCACTTTGTTACGATTATTTGCTTTTGGATGTTTTATTTATGAAAATTGTGAGCTTTTTCAAAAAATGATCAATATATTAATTGTATTGTAATACGGTGTCTCAGTGAATGAATTAATAAATTTGAACAAAGCTTACGAGAATATTTGGTCAGTACGAATTGAAAGTACTGTAAATTATTGAAATATCATTGTGTCTTCTTTTCTGTTTTAGATCAAATTTGTTAAAGGACCTTTTTGTGCAAAAGAAGGACGAACGGACAAGTTAGTGATGGAAGAAGAGCTAACGAACCAGATAACGATCAAACGACCTCGCTTTTGCCAGTACTAAACTGATTGCATCAGACGATATCATAAGGTGGGCAAATACAGAAAAGGTGCGTTATTCAAGATGAAATGTTAGAAATGGGCAATTTAATTGAGTAGCAATAAAACGAGTTCCTTACCTATTTTAGCCCAAAAGAATCTTAAATGAGCTTACTCACACTAATTTAAACTTTTGCTTGCTTTACCTCAGTTTCCTCTCAACATTTAAATATTACTCATGCAGAATTTTGCTATTTCAATTAAACTGATGCATATTTATTTATGCACAATTGAATAAAAAGTTAGCAATATGTCATCATCCTAAATGAACATAATTTCAAAAAAATAAATTTAATATGTCAGTATGATTAAATAATACTAGCAAATATGCGTTAAACAACAATGATAAAATATTTTAGTGTACAGAATTATAAAAGTTTTAGATCGCAGTCATCTAAAAATTAATGGTTGGAACTAAAAATTAATGGTTGGAATCATAGTAATTTTTATTTTTATTATTTCTTTATTTTTTTAATTCTAATTTCAAAAGTAATTCTAAAAATAGTCTTGAATGACAATGAAAATTTCTATTGTATCGAACAAATTGATATCACTGTATTTATTTCTCGAAAAAATTTCATTCTGTTTCGTTTGTTCGGCTGGAATTCCAGTATTCAAAAAAGCAGCAGAGAGTAGCTGAATGCAATCGCTAAAAGATCTATATTATATTCCCTAATTTGAATATCAAATTAATAAAAACAATAAGCATTTTTCGTACCATTTCCGGGAAAAGCTTTCTTTTTACATTTCTAGAAAAAGGGTAAAAGTAACAAATTCCAAGCAAAAATGTATATGACAAAACTATATGAACTTCAAGAATTATAAATACTTTCAACAGGCAAAAAGATACAACAAAAAGTTTCAATGCAAGACTATTTTTATCATTTATAGTAGTCAGTCATATATTTTGTTCATTGTTTTTCTCGTAGTTGAAAAAGCAAACAGTCATTTAAAAGTACGATAATGAAGCGTTTGGTGTTGTTAAGCAGTTTCAGAAGTGTTATTAACAAAATAAACAGCTACGAAATTTGATAATAAAATGTTTAAAAATAACGAAAAAGGAAAGTAATGAGCACGCAAGCGCAAGGCAGGTGTGTGGAAACTTTTTTAAAATTATGTAAAAAATATCAAATTCAAATTGAGTATTGTTATGTGTGCATAATTCAGTTTATGCATATAATATACTTAAGCTGCAATTTTGAACAAGCAAAAATGTTTTTCAAGATAAAAAATATTTGAAATAGGATTTCCAGCAGTAAATTAAAAAAATTATTGAAATTCAAATGCGTCAGAGAATATATCTTATAATAATTTTAATTTGTTGTTTTGAAAGACTATTTCTAATAGAACAACATGCATTCATTCACCACCAATTCAAATTTGAATACACAAACATGAGAATCGATTAGCGCAATCGAAAATTCATATCATAAATCCATTTTTCAAAGTTTGAGGTGCAGAGTTGATTTGATTTGTATGTCATTCAAATATATTGAGCAAATAATTTTTTTAGAACTATTTATGGAAAGATACACCTGATGTCTGCTCTTAAAATGTTATTATCGCTTAATAAATTAGAACATATCAAGAAAAAGAAAAAAGGAAGAAAAAAGTGAGTAAAAATGGGAAATTCTCTTTTCATTAAATGGAAAATCGAAGTTACTTTTTCCGATAAAATGAAGTTACTCAAGTAAAGCAGGGCAAGAGATCAGAGTGAGAGTTTTAGCCATGAATTCTATTGAATATAGCATTCATTTTACATCCAAGTTCACAGAATTGTTCACAAGTGATCCAGCATTGTGCTTATAAAAAAATACATGTAACGAGTTAGACTTTCATTATCTACTGTTCAGCTATGGCTGAATCAGTCATCGTCATCAACTATTAATGCATTAATAAATAATATACATATTAAGTATATAAAATATGTTAATTTCACATTGAACTAGATAGAAGGCACTTAAGAATATTTTGATAAACAAACAAGAAAAAGCTGTGCAAATCTGAATTACAAATGATGCAAAAATTTGTTGCATTTCGTATGTAATAAAATGGATAAATTCAATAGATACTGCTTACTGCACTCTTGTTTTGCCTTCATTCATTTTTGTTATGTTTTACTTTTTTGCTTATTCGTAAAAATTATGAGTTTTAGAGGCTAAAAGTTCAATGACTTGAAAAATTAGGAAAAAAGTATAATAATAAAGAAGTAAGGAATGAAGAATAAAGCTCGCTTTGCATGCATCACCACAGATATCCAGAACAGATTTGAAAATTTGGAAACAAAGTTAGAAAAAGCTTCAAGAAAAACAGCCCAGTTATGAGGCATGGAAAATAAATTGAGCTGGATAAGAAGCCTGCGTGGCAGTTGGAATATATGCATGTGCTGAAGGTAAATGAAATTTCATATCACCGTATGGATTTGGTTGTGGTTTTAGCATTCCATAGAACGGTCCCTCTGTTGGACTGCGTTTCTTATTTTTATTTTTTGTACTGATTTTACGATTCCTGGTTTGAATTCCATCTTTTTTCATTGATATTGGTCGTGAAATCTGAAAAAAAAATTAAGAAATGGAATTAAAAAATTTTGCACATATATTGAAAAATTTTCAAACAATTTAGATGATTGTTTCGCATTCATAATAGCTTAAGTAGTTTAATTTATAAGCAAATTAGTTTGACTGCAATAAAACTAAAGGCATATGCTTGACAAAACTTAGAATAATCTAAATTTTATCATAACTTTTATAGTTTATCAAGTTTTGTCATAATTAATAACAAATTTACTCAAATAATCTCAATCTCATTAAGCAATTTGAACTTAAGCTCAATATGTTTTGATCATTAGGTTGACACGTGGTGCTCGAGAAGGGAGTTGACAGTGTTGATAGAAATAAGTTGCCGAAATTTAATAGATTATTTTTTTGGAATTATTGTAATAAAATTAGTAGCAGGTGCACTGTTACAAAGCTTTTTTGCGGTAACTTCAAATTTGTTGGATTTGATGGATAAAGCTTAAAAGTAAGAAAAAAAGTAGCAGCATTTTTCGCTTTTTCTACATTGAATCACTAACAATAGCTTTTTGCACCAATTGTAACAACTGTTATAACAATGCATTATTTTACAGTTTAATTTTTTTTGGTTCGGATTTTTTAAAAGAAAATTTTCATTACTACTTCATTATATTGTAAAATTTTAAGTGAGAATTTTCACACCAGTACTTCACATTTTTACATCAATTGAAATGATAAACTATAGGAATGGAATCTTTTTTTTTTTTTTTTTGAAATTATGTGCAAAATCATATTATTGAAAGAAAAAAAAGATCTGTAACATTTAAGTTCTTTCATTCAAAACCTTTTTTGGCTCATTATTAATAGTAATATATTCATAGAATAAAACTCTTGAAATGTTTTTGTCAGCTACTACAGAATGCTTTAAGATTTTTTTTTGAGTGGGGGAGGATATAATCGGTTTCTGTCTTACAGAGAAACTACTAAAGATAGATAAATGTCCAGTGGTAGTCATTTACGATGCCTGGACCCTGACCATCAATCATATTTATGATTAGCCAGTAGGCGCCTCACAAGACAATTTATACATGCAGTTCTAAAAGTCACATGCTAACTTTGGCAAGCATTATGCTAAAAGCTTGAAAAGTCATTTACAATGATTTGAACTGATTTAAAGTGACTTAATATAAACAAAAAAGAATTAACTGTTTATAACTGATAAAGAGTTGAGCATAAAAGAATTGATAATTTTAATCAATCTAATTAAAATGGCATGTATCTGAGATTTGATTAGTAGTAAACAATGAACAGTTTACTTCTTGATTTAACTGTTATTGTAGAAAAAAAAGAAAAAAGTAGAAAATAAATTAGATTATTTTTTAATATTTATTTTTTGTGTTCTTTGGTCTCATTTCCTTAACATTAGAAAACGAAAGCAAAACTTTTATTTTTGCAAGAGTAAAAACAGTATGACGAAAATAAAGGTGTGAATGTTTTGCACTATCATTTCAACTGGCTTAAATTTTTGCCTTGTCAAGCGATCACATGTTCCTCTTCAATCAATCACATTTATGCCACTTTCAATTTAATTATACTGTAATAATTTGCAATTGAAAATCTTCTCAAACATGATTTTTAGCGATACTTTCTATGAAAATTTTGTGCATTCTTACTTGAGTACTTAATCTTTTTACTCAATTTATTTTAATCAATGACAAATATATTACCAATGCATTGACTATTTATCATGTTTACCGAATAATTAAAATTTTGCTAACAAAGCATAAGATTTTGTACAAAAGTTGAATTTTGCAATAAATTTATTTTCTTTTTTCAACTTTTTTAGCACAAAATAAATAAATACCAATTGTTGAAACTTAATATGTTAAAAAAAGAAAAACCAACATTATGGAGCTTGTGATATAAGCCACATGCATTGCATACCGGTTGACCCAACGAATTTCGCCTCCAAAGTGTTGTATGGTTGGTTTTGCAGTTAACACACTCTATACCAGTCCTTTTTTGAGCGCTCTAAAGATATGAATAGCTTGACTGTAAGTTTTTAATCATTCCAGCATTACATAATTGAAGAAAATAATTGACGATTCAGAATCATTGCAGTGCTTTTCTATTATGAAATTGCATTTTCCCATTTTTTCTAATTTGATTAGTACTAGAATAAAGAATAAAAGAAACATTTTCAATTCGATTTTTCCGAAATAAAAGAAAAAATGATTAAATTGCGACTATGCTAGAATCATCTTAGACTATCATTAGTAAGTATGCGATTTATTTCCGAAATTATATGAAAGCAAATGTTGCTAACAAAATGGCATTTTTTTCTTTTCATGATAGAAATTATCTAATGAAATGAATAAACAGTATAAAGACTAAATGAGCTATAGGAATTGATCCCCAAGTGAGTTAATAGAGCATACCAATGAGGCTATAATTGTTTTACCTATCAATGAGAGAGCCATGAAGACTACGATTTGAATGAAGTATACTGTAATGAGACAAGTCATCCTAAAGTAAATGCGATGACCCATTAAAGTTGTTATTTATTTATTTACTTACTTATTAACTTTACTAATTTTTTCAACTTATACTGCTGCATTTAAACTTTGCTTCTTAAGTTTCTAATAATAAACTTTTTCAAGCTTATAAATTTAAGCACAATTTTATTGGAATTACATAAAGTATTATTAGTGATATCAGCGCTAATGATTACTAAAAAATTTGCTGTCATTTTCTGCTGCTTGACCTTTGCATACTTCAGGTTTGTCTTAATTTGGCGTCAGTTACACATTCTTCGTAATCACTTTCTGCCCTCAGCACTTTTGTCATCCCTCAGTTTTATCTTTGTTTCGTCCTTGAAAATCTTTTTCTTACTATCCCTCCCACTGTCCGTCCTTACCTTCTTACCAAAAACAGCATCACCTTGATATCCATGTATGGAGGAAAAATACCAGTTAACGATGCATGATCGCTTTTAATTAGTCAAACGTCGCAAAAATTATCCATCAGTGACAATTTTAATCATCAACTGTCCATGAAAATTTACTAACGCATTGATTCAGTTTGTGATTATAATGGATGACAGATGTTTTATTTAATAACGCATATTAACACTTATCTATTGAAAAAAATTAAAAGTGAAAAAAAAGCAAACTAATACAGGAATAATTAAATAATTATGATTAGAAGACAAAATATATTTGACAAGTTTAATTCTGAATACTTTTTTTAGTACTGCAAGTTACTCAAAAATGAACTTCAAAAAATAATTTGTTTTTCATCGCATAATTATTTGCAGAATCGTTAAAAACCAAATAATAATGAACAGTTAGCATCACTCAATGCAAGAATGATTTGTTTAAAAATAAATAAATAAATAAATAAATAGAGTAGGAGTGCCAACAATAATTTAGCTAGTTATGACTGAGCTTGATGCTAGTTATTCTTTACATTACTGCTTACAACAAATGAATCATCATCTTTCTTGCAGTGTATTGCATCAAATAGAATAATTAAATGTAATGTAATACGAACCTACACATGGTAGTTGGTGTGTTCACTTTATTTTAGCACTGCTTACATTTGCTGTTGTTACTGTTGTTACTGTTGTTAATGCTTTATGTTATTGAATGTCATTATAATAATTTGATGAGTAAATAAATAATCTCAAATTACAGATTAGAAAATGAAAAATAATCTGTAGTTAACGCAAAATCACTGAAAAGTTGTAAGCAAAACGATTAATTTTTGAGATTCTCAATGACTGATAGCTTCATTGAAACAAAAAGTGAGCTTCTTTCCTCCTTTCAGTTCTTATTTTCATTTCAGCTATCTTTTCTTTTCGCTTCCAATTACTGCTTTACTTTATTTTTCTGCTATATTTTCACTTTCTTATTTAGTTACTCATGCTTATGTAATAAAATTATCTCTAATTTGAGAATAGTCTTTGTTTTAAAGTTTATTTATTACTGGTTCAAAATAGTCTCAAACATTTAACTTTTTATCGAAACTTAGAAATGAATATAAAAACTTATTGAATTAAATAATCATTATTATTTAGTATTAAAAGAAAAAATTGCTCAAATCCCTTGCTAGAAATGATTTTTAAATGCAATTTAGCAAGCCAACGAAATTTCTCACTAAATGTCTCTAAAAGTGATAATTCTTTACAAGTAAGGGTAATTTTAAATACAATTATCGCTTTTCCATAGTAAATAGAGTAAAGTTAGATAAAATTAAAAATTGATAAATAAAAAGTGAGAGAATGAGTGAAAAACCGATGCAATATGGAACCTACCGTAGTCTTTATTAATATTTTCGAAGTTGAAAATGTTGCTTTTATATCATATTAACATTATCAGCGAATCTAAATCATAGTGGCTTAATAATTATATAAAAAATAGTTTTGATTTTTGATGCTTGAATTCATTTCATTGCCAAATAAAGTTCTCACGGATTCCATAACAGAAGCTTACTGCTATTGGTTGCGATAAACAAATCAAGCATAAAACTTTGAAGATTATAATTGTCGTAGAAAGTAGAATTTTTAAAGACGTTCTGAGGAAAACTAATACCAAAAAGCTAAATTATAATAATTGATTATTGTTATTATTGGTCCTAACATATTAAGGTTTCATTATGGCAATAAAATAATGTATATATTAATTTTCGTTAGCAAGAACACTTGATAAGAAAAAAGTTCAAACGTTCTTCAGCTTTTAAATTAGCAATTAAAAATCTTTTGCATGTTTCTGTTTCTTTTATTTTTCATCAAATGCCTTGGCTAGTATTGTCATATTATATTGCTTTATAGATTTGAAACTATTAACAAGCTTAGAAAAGGAAGAAAAAAACAGTAACTGCATCAAAAAATTATGGAATGGTTGAAAATATTCAATCAAAAATTTTGATAGGAATTAAAAGTGATCAAAAAAGAAAGAAAGATATGAAAAGACTTTTGTAGCAACTAAAGTTGTACCATAAATAGCAATGAAGTGTTGAAAATAAGTATATGTATGAACAAAATTTTGACCTGTCTCTTTTTGGGTTTGACTAGTGGACGATTCTGTCCGTTCATTTTGTGGTACAATCCACATGCATTACATAAGTAATGTCCAGTACCATCTCTTCGCCACAGAGGAGTTTGTACGGCGCCACAGTTAACACATTCACGTCCTTCTGCTATAAAGTGCATGAGCAGTAATTATAACAGATGTCAAAGATGACTGATTTCAAGTAAAGATATAATGATTATGGAAGACTTATGGGATGAAGCATGTTCCAAAAATATCCAAAAAAAGAAATTATTAATCGTTGTGTGTACTGCACAGCAACCAACTTTTGTAATAATTTTTTCTCGCAATTACATAAAATATTATGTTAAAAATTTTGTTGCTTTATAAATGACTTAAAACTTCCATCAAAATTTATTCCGGAGAGCAGTCTGAAATTTTGAATACAACAATATTGCTCACTGCAAAAGTTAGAAGCAAAAATGAATTTTATAGAAATATACTCACATGTAAAATTTCTACTTTTCGTACGAGGCGCACCAGTAACAGCAATCGATGATGACCTAGACGAAGCAGAAGCAGATGATGAGCAAGCTGTCACAGGAGCTGCTAAGCGGTTTTGAACAGCTAGTAAATTTGCGCTTTGCAATGGATTATAATAATCTGTGATCGAATAGGATTGATAAGTTTGCGGGAAAAAGTTCTGGGTTGTTGTTTGGTTTTGGGCTGGAAAGTATGAAATTCATGTATAAGCCAAGCTTGTAGATTTTTAATTCAAAACTTCATATTTTTCTTATGAATTTCATCTCAATAATATCATTAATCAAACTTGCACAACTTTTGTCGAGAAAAAAAATTTTTAAATAACAATCTGATTGAAACTGATTAAAATTTGTGCACGTACCAACAAGCATCTGTGTAGGATCCGTAATAACAGTAGTAGGTTGTGTGAAGCTTAATTCAGTAGTATTAGAAGAACATGGTGAAGTACCGGCAATTGTAGCAGCAACAGTTGAATTGGTAGTAGCACTTGGATAAGGCCAAGTTTGGAAAAATAGACTAGGATAGAACTGGTTACTCGCACCTGAAAAGCTCTGCATTGTTACTCAAACAATAATTTGATATTTTAAGTCGTAAATTTAATGAGATATTTTTACATACCGTAACTGTCTGGCATTTTCGGTGTTCCTTGATAATATAACTGACCATTTTGTGAAGGATTGGAATAAAATGTAGAAGGTTTAATTGGCGAAAACACCTGTTAATTGCAATAATTGCTGACTTCATTTATAAAGACAAATATTGAATTATGTAAATTATCTTGAATGATTGTAAAAATCAATTTTGAATTTTAGTGCTTGATTAATCAATAATTATTTGAAAACGTGAGGTGCTTATTGATTTAAATAATGTTTTTCCATTTTACAAACTCACTATCGTGCAAAGCTTACGGAGTCGTCATTTTGGGCAGGAGTATTTGTATCTTGACTTTGAGAACTGTTCATTTGCAGCGTATTAAGATCGGTAATGGGAGCATTTTGATCAGTGTTAATAACTGCTTCCTGGATTGACTGTATCGGTTGATACAAATCCCCAGGATGACTTACATTGTTCGGCTGGAATTTGTATTCCATTATCCAAAATTTATACCGAAATTAATGTTGCACGCTACCTTTATGTCCTTCCAGCGTGACTTTTTTTTCTTTAAATTTCCACTACTTCTTTATCGTTCTGAAAATTATGCAGTCAAACTGCATCCATCAAATGATTAGGAGCACAATATTATTCACGGCGTCTACACTTTATAACACAAGAAACGAAACATGCTTAGTAATGACTCAAATTCTAGGTGTAAAATTTTCAACTGATTTAAAAATGAATTTCTTAAGTAATCTAAAAAGGAAGAAGTTAATTGAAATTAAATAGTTCAATAATGGTAATGAATGATCCTAGTGATCTTTGTTTGTTTTTTCTTTCAGTAAGAACTCCAATTTCCTTGCTTTATATGAAAATAAGGCAAGTAAATTATATTAAGTTTGTATGAAAATTTATTAGCATAAATACAGAGCGAATTTCGGAAAAACGAAAATTGAAGTAAATACGTGTTGAAGACAAAGTTATACAAAATTTGACAAAAGTTGAAATAAAAAGTGATTAATTCAAATCAAATTAGTAAAATGGAAGTATTATATATGCATGAAGTGAAAATGTAATCATACATACAATAAATGAATAAAATAAACTTCATTATCACGCTTTATATAATGAATTACTTTTGACAATCAGGTAGCAAAGGGAAACTATTAGAAAAAGCATATTAATGTAAGCTGGATAAAAAATTATGGAAATCAAGAAAAAGTGAGGAATTCGTTCATAATAATATGAATAAGCAAGGAACAAGCAGACAGGTAGGCAGGCGAGCAATTAGACAGACGGACGGATAGATGGAAAAGTAAATAGGTAGATAGATAGATAGATAGAATGTAGATGGAGAAATATCCTAGTGACCAGTGCGAATGTGAAGCACTTTTTTGAATGGTGCATAAATTTGAACATATTTTCGAGAAAAACATTTATATTATGGGAAGGTGCTCAGTGTTGTTGCTAGTACGCTCAACCAAAAGTGAGCTAGCTGTTTTTTGGGATGTCAATTTATTCTTGGAACTTGCATTCCTGCAATGCTTCTTCTACATTCTGTGCCATATTTTTGTGCTAGTTTAATATTTTGCATTGTGTTTATTAGAAACTGTTTATTTCATGTTATTTGGTGTGATGTTGTGATAATTATGCAAATAATAACAAGTGTAATATGTTCAAATATGAATGGTTTCGATTGGTTTCGAACGATAATACCAAGTGTATGTTTCATGATTAAAGATCGTAAATTAACATAAGATGATTAAAATCACTTAGTTATTCTTCCTCTTCTATTATTTAATTAAAATTTACCATATCAAAGCTTAATCTATACTCAATCACTGTTTGCGATAACAATTATTACATGACTATTTGATTAAAGATGATAACAACTTTTCTTCCTGATTGGTGATAAGTAATACATTAACGCCATGGCCTTTTCTTTAATGATTATTGCGAAAACAATTGGCTATTATCAGTTCAAGATCGAACACTTATCAAACTACCACCACCGCTATCATCACTTTTACAGTGAAATCTTTTTGTTCTTATCGTAATTATGATCATTATCACTTATTTTAGTAATAAAAAGATAAATAATAACAAAATGTCTAGTTAAAATAGCAAGTAATTATTACAACTTGACTCGCATGGATATTCCATGTATGAATGAACTGAACTGAAGTAAACCCTGGAATGTCAGTCCTCCCTTTCATCCAGTCATCCTTCTATCCATTCATTCATCCATACATCTATCCATCCAGGGATCCTTCTTCTACTATTCGTCCATCCGTCCATCCGTCCATCCATCCATCCATTCGTCTCACCGATTCCATTTTTATTACCAATGCAGTTGTCGACGATGAAGAGGTACACTACCCCACCCACTTCACCTCCTTCTTCCCCTCAAACTTTCAGTAAGCAGGTGGATCATTGTAGGCGGAGTTCACTTGTTTTCTTTCCTCCCTCTTCACACACTTTAATGTGTCAAGTATTAGTATTAAGGCGGGGTTTAAAACATCTTATTCAACCAATGAAAGACTCGTTCATCGCATCATTTTTCGCCGCATTTCAGATGACTAACAATTTGTGACACTGTATTAACAGCAATAGATAAGCAGAATCTAACCTACTAGCTGTTTTTTATTTTTTCAAAAATTAAGTCAAAAAATTTGAAAGAGAAGTTTCATAGTATTTCCTACGTCAAGGACCTCCACAGACCACGTTCTATGGAATATAGTTGCTTGGCACGCAATGACTTACATCATATTAAGAAAAACGGATTGTTTTCCTTTCTTATTCACTTTCGACCTTAGCCGTATTCACTAATCATAGCAGTAACAACTCTTTTTGAACAAATATGGTATTCAAAATTTTTTCATAAGGTTCCTCTTATTTAAGTACAGATTTTGTCCTACGATAACCCACACAAAACGTTTGAAATTTTATTTGGCTAAAGATTCTACTTGTCAATTATTATTATGCATTATTAATTTAAAAAGCATGACACTGTAGGTAAACAAATGATTTGCAGTGGAATAAATGAATGAAATTTAATCACTTTCAAAATAATTCAAATGATTATAAAATAATTGATTAATTGAATTAGATTTTACAAGCTGTGTTACTGAAAACAAATTTTAAGCAGTGCTGGTCTTGAGCGATAAGTGATTCTCTCCCAGTGGACAATCAGCTGAATATCAAAGATGAGTGCAAATTTTTGACTCAAACAAAATTCCCCAAATCCCTAGGCAATGATTACAGTAAAGAAATGAAGCAGTATGTAGCTTTATTTTGAAAATTGACTGCTCGTAAAGAAACAGGTTAACACAACTTCTATTAGAACAACTTTAATACTCTGATATCAATTTTGATGCATATAGATCAAATATCATCAGTAGTTTGAAACATTTACATATATAAGTATTGCAATGCAATTTTAGCTGCACAATAAATTTTTTTGAATTCTTCACTTTTTTTAGACGTGAAATTAAGACTCACAAAATTAATTATTAATTATTCACTTTATGGCATAATAATAAATTGTTGAATAGATTAGATACTTGCAAGATAAATGAAAAAACATGAAAATGTTTTTTATATCTTGCAACAAATCATTGATTTATAGACTAACTACTTATTACACTGTTATTACTACTAACAGCTACTCAATTACACACTAGTTATTATACAGATATACTAATTATGATAATGATAATGCAAAGTTGATTTTGAATTTTCAGATTTCCAGTGAACAAAAAAAACAGAATGATAAGACGCGAGATTCACACTGCAGAATATTATGTTCTTACTCATTGTATTATTTCTTCAGTGCTTGCTTCTCATGATGAATTCTTTCTGCTTTTAACATTATTGTTTGCCGCTGTTATGTTCTGTTCTAGCTTTGCTTCAGCTTGCTTTTCACAAATAGTAGAAGAAGAAGACGCGAAAAAGTTACATTCCCGATTATATATCACTATTTATTCATTTTTTTCTTGTCTTCATCTCATGTTTACGTGCACATGAATTAGAATGGAATTTGCAACTAACACATCATCATATGTTTCAATTTAATATCACTTTTCCTTTATCGAAGCATCTCATGGGACAGCGGGAATAGTTTCTTAATACTCATATTATATCGATAAATTCCACTAGAAAACTGAAATTTTCTCATGACTGGCTTCTTATTTTTTTTGATAAAATGATAAAGTGTTTATTGCATGAGAACAAAATGTTTTAAAGCCAAAAAAAATCATAGATTTAATCTGCAACAAAAAACTTGGCATAAAGGATGACATATTGCGCTTGCAATTAAATGCATTAATATACATTTGTAGTGCTTGAGGATACGTTCAAATCAGTCAAAATAATATGAAATTCTAAGGTAGTCATGAAAATGATAATTACTTAATTGCAAGTCGGCAGAAGACAGCTACTAGTTATCATTAACTTGAGCGATGATAGTTTAGAAATCAAATGACCCCCTCCTATGCTCTGTAACTCATTCGTCACTTTTAACTACTTTTGCTCACTAGGAGGATCACGCCGACATTGGACCCCCTTAGACCTTCACCTTTTATTATTTCTCTGTTATTTTCAGTGTTTAGCTCATCATTTACGAGACATTGAGCCCAATTGTTCTTAATCCTTAGCTGATTTAGGGATTGGTTTTGATTACTTTTAAAATTCCTCAGGAGATCTGCCACAATTAGCGATGACTATTCATCAAAAAAGGATTTCGCTTCTACATTAAATGACAGAAGAAGATTGTAATATTGAAATACATCATATATATAAGCCCCAAAACAAAGTCTATTTTCAAAGAAAATTTAATAAGTGGAAAAATTTGTAATGTTTCTGAAAATAATCATTTATTAGAATTTCATACAAAAACTATACCGTATAACTACATCAGAGTGAAATAGCGGAACGAACAATGTGAAATAATGCAAGTTGTGTAAACAAACAAAAACCGTATACGTATCATAAGAAAAACTAGCTATTTTGAAAAATCGTTAGCTTTGAAAGTACGCAAAAGTGTTTTGCAAACAACAAAAACTGAGAAGGTATGAAAATTTGCAGCAAATTTTTTCACAGCAAAGATTAGCATTATAAAATTATTTATCACAAGGGTGCGAATATTAGAATCTATTTTTGTTCATAAGGTCAAGTCAATTCAGTTGTTGGCAAAATTATTTACAAAAATATTTTGAATCGAATACTTTTTTTCAACAAATATGCAAGAAAAAATTTTCATTCTTTTTAGAAAGTTTGCATATTATAAGTCTGCAAGGATAAGACTGATTGAAAAATCGTCATTTATGAAAAGAACTTTCTATCAACATTTTTTTTAAGTTCTAGAAAGTACTGTAAAATTGATGTCAATACGAATGCAAAATAAATTTATAAAAACAGTCATCTTTAGTATGATTGTTTTAGATTAATATTGACAGTAATATTTGAATAGCTTACTTAATTTACTTTGAAGCTTTGC